TTCTACATTATAGAGCTCGAGCCTTCAAATGTGAAGGTTGTTGTTGGTTCAATTCCAAGCGGTGCAGTTTTTAAACCCAGAAATATCACCTGATATAAGCCTATTCAACAGTCGATGATAAAAACAAATCAATGGTTGGGACTATATTTAATAAACTTTACAAAATTCCATTGGTATTAGAAAACAAGAAGAAAATAATAATTTTGTTTTTTGATCACAACGTCTAAAATATTTATTGAAAACCATTACACAAACAAGATGAGCTATTTATAACTTTCAGAGAATTATTTGAAACATTCCAATAAGTTGTAATTAGTTTAAGCGCTCTTTGATTTATTCCCTCGTTTAGTTGAACTCTTCATTTAGTTTATCTCTTTTTTTTTTAATTATACCGGTGGTAATTTGTTTGCGTCTGAAACATGGGCTAAAAATTATGATGTATTATGTCTAACATCTTTAAATGAATTGAGTTTGATATTTTAAATCTTTATCGTACGGTAGTTAAAATTTTATTTAAGCCTACAATCTTTAAACCGAACTGAAGTTTTATGGCAATTTAAAATTCTAAATGAAGAGCTTTCACTTTTAACATATTGCTAAGAGTTCACACATCTATGTTGACAAATATTAAAGTCATTTTGTGGTTTCTATTGAATACGACTTAACCACAAATCACGAATAAAACTTTTGGCGAATTCATCAAAAGATATATAATTAAACCGGTAAATTGGTGCAATTTGAATATTTTAGGGGTTGAAAACGCGAACATGAAATTAACGAATCTCATTTGGTTTGTTGTAAACATTACGTATTTAAGCTATATAGTTGTTTTTCAGTCAAATTAAACATCAAACAATTTCCCTATTCTTCTAACACATTTCACGTTACTATCTTGTTTAAAATAAAATGCTTTATCATCTCGGATGATTTTATGATAACCTAGACACTAATATACATAATTAATGGCTACAAACTAAGAATACAAAATACAAAAAAAGTGTAACGTAGCCTACTAAGCAACCCCAACCCATAGAGGCAACGCCGCATTAACCCCTATGGAATACCGCCTACTAACTAGCCTACATAATGGTACTGCACCGCCTACCTACTGTATATGTATTTCTCATATGTGTAGTGCATCTGTTTATAGTTGTCAATCAACATAACAACCAATTAGGCCTAATTAATTTTAGCAAAGCGAGTTCCTGAAAAAACCTCCCTACTACGTGTGTTACCCCTGTGTTCCTTCACGTTAAATGCACTGGTCTATGTTCTCAATTACGTAAAAACAAATTAGCCTACTGTACTATTTATACATTTAGGTATACCTATAGTAGGCCTAAGCAATTGAAAAACTTCAACAAGATAGAATTACATTCGTATTTTTATCCATGTATGGATCATGAGCGGAGCGACTTTGGCTAGGTACCTATATATTTTACCTAGAAAGGAATTCAGTCATGATCTTTATTTCATTTCAATGCTACCCCACTTATAAGGCCACGAGTAAATGCTAATCTATGAAACATTAAATCCAATAAATTATATTGTAACGGAACTTCAATCCGATCATGGATCGGCAAGCCTATATTTCGTTTCCCTAACGTTAACAATAAACAGTAACGGATCTTAACTTAGTGAAGACAATGGTGATAGAGAGAAGAATTCATCAGTTAGTTTGACAAAGAACAGATGAGACATTGTAAGGAAGCGTTTCCGTCCGGACGGTCTTATCAAAGTCAACAACGCTCTGTTGACAAATTCTCTTCACTGAGTCAAGTCTACGATAACACCGTGGAAATCTTGGTATCGTCTTGGTTCATTTTATTGCCACTAACTAAATCAATAACTGATTTGATCAAGAATTTTCTAAAGTCATCTCAACGCTCTTAACAATTATTGAGATGACTTTCGAACATGCTTTAATTGATCAGCAGCTACGGCAACTTCCCTGCACTACTAGAGGATTGTCTCAAAGCATTTATTATTATTTATTTTTAGCCTAGACGTTTTTTTTACAGAACGTGGTTAGTTACTCAGATTAAATCTCTAATCGAAAGCTTCAACTTATACTAAAGAAAAAAATATTTCTTTTCAATCTAGCCCTACAGGAACTCAAATACGTTTAGTTTGCAACCAAAGGAATTCTTGAATAGGCCTAATACGCAATCGATCAGTAAAAATTACGAAATGACCCTTTAAGGCCAGTTTAAACTCCTCAAATTCGACTGTACGGGTGTTTAATCTAATTATTCGATTTTGACACTCCGATGAATCGTTACGTAACCAAAAAAGTATAAATAAACGCATTTTTACTTTACAATTTAATACTACAGTGCTTGACTCATTTATACAGACCTTTATTAGCCTACTAGGGTACCTATAAATTAATCGTAACAGTTAATTCTACCACACCATTAGGTACTTTAAACCAACTAGGTACGGTAATAACAATGCATTAAAAGGCGTAGGTTAAGGTGTTTTAAGTGTTGTGCAACGAAGAGAATATTTACTTCATTACGTAGGACAAAATGTCTGAGGACGCCAAGGCCAGAGTCGATGCATCAAAAAGCCACAAAACCTGACCAGGGCCGAACCACGATTGCATGTTATTCAATCTCGCTGTGACATTTAAATGGTACTGCATCATTTTCGTAGCATAAACATACGAAATGTTTATAAGACAGCGAGATAAAAGCGTTTACCGTAACATTATTCGTAATTACCGTTAAAAAATAACGTTAATAACTAACTTGGGCGAACTACACGTGACTACACGCGTTGCTGTCGCACGCAAGCCTGTCGACAAGACTTTGACATGCACGTCAAGCGAATTTAACCCTAAGAAATAACGGCATAAGAACTACAATGGCGTGATCTACCGCAATTATGTTACTAAACGTGCCGCAAAGTAAAGTTTACTTTTTAAAGTTGTAAGCTGCCAAAACTTGAGAGTCATAAAACTGCAGGGGTTCATAAACCGCGATCTAGAAACAACTTTATAAAAGTTATAAAATCACGTTAGAATAGATGTTGAAAACCCGATTTTAAAATGAAGTTGGGTTTTTGATGACAATTAATTGGATTCACTATCAAGATGGGTCCGGTAAAAACAAACTTATAATTCTAGTCTACGCAAGGAAGGCAGGCTAGTCCCATTTTAAAACAATATGCGATGACTATGGATTTAGTACTAGGCCCAGTTGCAAAATAAATCTTCACCCTGTTATCTTCGAAAAGTTTAAGCTGGGTAGCTCAGTCGTTATAGCATAGATAAAAGGAGTGCTCGCCTAGTCATCATTCCCTCATATTTGGGTTAAATTACTCACATAGTGGCGTCTCCATCCTAAATAATCATTGATTATAAGGTCGGCTTCATGGTTAGATCCTGAAATCCATGGTTAGTGTTATGTAGGCGTACACGGTAACTTAGGTTTAGAAGGTTTGTTCACAATTAATTTTCTCAGCGTAGGCATTTAACTTAGCCATCTGTGATCAAATTAGGCCTACCTTAATTTATACAGTACAGGATTTATAACCTTAGGATCGGAAAATTTATCCAATTAATTAATTAATAGTTTACGCAAATACTTTACGCAAGTACCGTACCAATTTTAAAGTTCGATTGATGATTAACTTACGATTTTTATAACTCACTTAACTAACCTATGTGAATGACCTATCTGTTGGCTGTTAATAATGACCATATTATTTCTTTTTTGTTTGCTGATGATTTGGCTGTTCAAAGTCAATGTAATGATGTCTTATTTGCAAAAAATGTTCTAATCAAGGTTTATGATACTGTTAAGGACTGGTCAGCTGCAAATTCACTTTGTCTTAATGAACAGAAAACTCAAAACTTGGAATTTTGTTAGAGGCCATATGCCCATGAGAGTATCAAGTTTAATTCTGTTAAGTTTTTAGGAATTCTTCTTCAAAGCAATGTAAAATGGGATAAACATATCGTAATGTTATGCAGTAAATTATCTAAGGGAACTTTTATGTTGATTAGGCTAAGATCGTTTGTGTCAACGGATATTCTCATTACAGTTTACTATGCCTACCTTCATAGTTATATATCATATGGAATTATTGTAGCCTATGGGGTAGGCCCTAATGACACCAATGTTAAGGAATTGCTAATTGAACAAAAGCGTGCTATTAAAGTCATAGCAAATGTTGACATGAGGACTCACAGTAAGCCATTGTTTAGGAAATTCAACATACTCACTGTACCTGCAATGTATATTTTTGAATGTCTGTTGTTTATTAAAAGAAATTTACATACTATAAATTACCTACAAATAAAAATGTTCATGTAACTATTTCACTAGAAACTGTAACTCACTTAGAATTTCCCAGTGTAATTTAAAAATTGCTCTGAATTGTTTTGTTGAAATGGGAAAAAACTGTATAATTCTCTACCCACTCATTATAAATGTTTAGAATTTAACTGTTTTAAGAGGAACGTTAAGCACCTTTTGATTAGTATTAGCCCATATGACATAAATAAGTTTTTCCTTAATTTGTTAATGACCATGTATAGTATAACTAAAAACGTCTGTGATTATCTGTGGACTGTTTTATAGTTATATTTATTATAACTAGTTGACACTGCTATGCATTGTAAAATGTTCTGGCAATAAAGATTTGATTTGATTTGATTTAACGTCTAACTTTGTCTACACAACAAAGTAACGATGACTTGAATAAGAAGTTTCGTCTAGGTGTAGGTCTACACATTACTTAACACAATGCAAATGATATTGCGTTAGCCTTTACTCGTATAACTTAAATAGAGTATAACATTTAATTAACTAGGCTAATTTAAATTGTGAATTTACTTTGACTGAATTAATAGGCCTACCTAACTTAAGTTATCAACTAACCAAGTAACCTAACCAGCTAATGCTCAATCTGTAATTCTGACGTAGCGAAATGACTAACACAGTTCCCTGAACTATCACCCTTGCTTAACCTAGCACTCTGACAATGCCTACCTTTATGATGTCGAACGTGTCGTTTGGTCGCACAGCAAGGCTGTTCGTAGTAGGTGGCCCAATGGTTACCATACTCCGCACCATCTTTCAGTTGAGCCCACACGCCAAACTCTTCCAACAAACACACAAACAACACAACACGAACAGCGGAAAACACGCGAGACATGATCACAACATAAACAAAACACTACACTACCGAGAAACTGACAACACGTTCACATGCCGCGGTCACAGACTAGAGACAGGACGAGAGCTAACAGCAGACGCCGGGAGTGAGCATTCCGCAGACACAAATAGAACGAACAAAACCTTCGCGGACAAAGAAACGTAACTGTTCACAAACACAACCGGCCTATCGTGTACGACGAACGCATAGTTTGAAACGAGTTGGTAAGCAAATGGCGAGATTGTTGATTACCGAGTGTAAAACGCGAACGTCAAGTGAGATTCGGCGACTCACTCGACAACGACGGGTGGTAAACAACTAAAATCGCTCGGGAAAGTTGCATACAACAAAGCGTGTTCGGGTGAGTTCGGGCGGTTCCGGGGCGCGTCGCCTCGGGTGTAGTCGGTAACGTTCGGATTTCCTCCTCCCCCCCCGTTTTTGACGCTCGCTCACAATGCCGCGCGCCACAGACAGAAAGGCATGTCTGACGCTTGCTTCTTTTTCTGTTTTGGCTCCCCCCTCCCCGACATTACCCGACGGAAAGGTCTGTTACTACACAGATCCCTTCTCTACATCCAGGGATTATACTTCTTCACGTTTTCACCTCAGTTAACTTTTTGTCAAGTGACGAATTTTACCTCGCTTTGTACTTTCGACAGTCGAGATGTGTTAATCCGCGTTGCACATGAGCGATTTCAAAAGGTTGAATTTTACGACTTCAATGCAAGATGATCTCGTCTAATCTACTTTTATAATTTTAGCGAATTTCCCTATAGGGAAGTAGCTATTACCGTAGGTCTCATGGTAAGACTTAGGCCCGGGACCGATTTACTTTTTCATTTTAATGTCCCCAGAGGCCAAAAACACCATTCGTTCAAATTTTTATATATGTATATATATATATATATATAGGTATATATATAGATTTATATATATATATATGTGTCCGTGAACACGATAACTTGAGTAATTTTTATCCGATTTTGATGACATTTGGTTTGAAGGTGTAAGGCGGGATAAACTTGAATAAGTTCGCGATCCAGCATGATCGGACCATGGGAACAGGGTTTTATGGGGGGTTTTATGGGGTAAAAATGGGTTTTTCTCACTTTTTACCCTCAAAACACAAAATTTCCCAATTTTTCTCTAAACCTTCTTAAAGAGCTTAAAAAAACAAACAATTCAGTATATCAAAGTGTTTTTGTACGGTTATTGGTTACGGAGAAAACTAAAAAAATGGTAAATTTAAAATTCCCATGTTATTCTTATGGAGAATATTGTAAAATGTTGTAGTTTGCTTGTTTATGGATATATTTTGATCAAAGTTGGCAAATTTATTTATTTTATAGTAAGCTATCAATATTTTACTAAAAACACACTACTTTATTAGTTTCCTTGTAGCAGCAAACCTAGGTACTCGTTAAACCTAATAATGTTATTTAAATAGATCAATTGAAAATCAATTCGGACAAATGGAAATTCGCTTAGACGGCAGGTTTGCTGCGGCGGGGGTATTTACTTTAATTTCTTACTAGAAGATAAGGAAATAGTTTTACTTGCTTTTTACTCGTTTGATGAATAATGACTTTACATTCAAAACGTGTGCATTGTAAAAAAAAAATGCTAATTATACCTTATAATTAAAGTAGAATAGTGTCTCGTTTGGTAATCTGTGTCATTTGTAAGCAGACTGAAACATTATTATGAACGGTAACAGCTTTTAATATTCTCATGAATAGTGTTTACCATTGATTATAGAAGTTAATTTTTATATCCATCTTTTTAAAATGAACCCTTTAGTGCTTAATTAATATTTCTATTTAGGCGAATTAAAACTATCAACAGAAAATAGTTTTGCGTTATCAAATGATGGAAGAAACGTCTGTGTGTGGGCAGCGGCTCGTAATAATATGCGTAAGTTCTGAGAATACAAAAATTAAATTAAAAATGAAATATTTGGTCTCCACAAATCAACAATGATTTACAAAGGTACTGGTTTGGTAGAACATAACATAGGCTCAAGCAAGAGCGAACACGCGTTCAACCTAAATATTCACCCTAGACATGATAAAGATATGTAATCTCTCCTGGCGGCATTAAATCAATGCCTTCCAGGTCAGATATGCATAATGTACGACATTTGTGCATGACATTGTCTTGCAAGAGTTGAAGGCGCAGCATGTCTGATATACGAAATTACCACTAGAAGCCTGGTATTCGCAACACCAAAGATACATAATAAATTATCGTGGTTATGAATGTCTACCCGTAAATAATGGGAAAAGATTGAGTCAAACGTAAATTCAGCTGCATTTATGAAATGTCACATGATTTGTAATTTCGCTTTACCCAAGTATTACAGTTTCCCATAGTGATGTCTATTATACTTAGGCTACACCATCGATATCCATTACTACAACTCTATTGTGGTAATAGAGACCAATGTTTACACAAATTTGACACAATATGGTGTGTATTTTAAAACTAAGACGAGTGTAAGATGAATGTTTAATATACGGTATTACTAGTGGCCTGTAGGGACCATAGCCCCTAATTTAGACTACAATAAAAAAACCATATATAAAAAGACAAATATTCGAAATATGTTTTTAAAATTATAAATTTTATGTTACTTAAAATTAACAGTGTTTCTTGTTTTATATATTGGTTTTCCTTCCGTTGGAGTCGTATATTAGTTGCTTCTGATGTGTCAATGAAATACAATTGTAAAATAATGATTAAATCAATAACACAACATATTAACAAATGGAAACGTGCACACGGTTTGACCTGAGCCCGGAGAACGACGAATCAGAGCTGAAATCATACAGCCAAACATTGCACATCTTTTCTAGTTTAAAATTGAAGATTTGTTTTGTAATCTTACGAATTCTGTTATAGTTTCCATTTTGAGAACCAAATGTAAAGGTTAAAATTATTATTAATTATTATGAAGGCAACTCCCCATTTTGCGGTAGTAAGTCAGAAATATATCTATGAATTTGTCCCTGAATATTCAGTATAGACAGAAAGGCCCGTTTCCCGGAATCTCTTTTTGTGTAGCGGAAAGCGACGCAAAAGCCATTGCACTGTTGTATTGCCTTATGTTTTTATGAAGTTCGAATCGTGTAAAAACAGTTCTTTTATAGTTGTACTAGCTGTGTGCCCGTTCTACGCACGGGGATCTTATCATAGTCAGTTAAAACCTTCTTATATAAAGCACAGCAGTTGGTTTGCATACTTTCAGATATTCTGACAAAACTATTCCTTCGCAAATACAGTATCTGACAGTTTCAAGCCAAAACTAATGCTTCGCATCTTTTATAGTTCGTCATTTACTTCTTATTGTGGATGTCCATTGTGGCAACATGCGTTTAAATGTTCATTTGTGGCCTCCTCTGCGAAGTGAAATGCGCCACAATGCATGCAAGTGCTTTAAGAGGACTTAGATTGTGAGAAACAACACTCAACTCATTTTCCAGCGTTCTTCTAAAGACAGGTTGTAAAACAGCTTCTGGATTTCATTCACAGTTAGTTCTACATGACGTTCTCGTTTGCATTTCTTAAGTCTGTTGAATTTCTGGATACTCTTCCACGTCTTGCAGGTCTTCCCCTACCCTGTCTAGTTACTTCACTCATTTTAAAAACGGAAAACAAAAAAATTAAACACAATTCATTTTGCAACATTATTTACCAACATTGACTTTCGGAATAAATGTAAACATTGCAAATAAATAAGTAACAGCTGATAGAATGCAGAAGTTTATCAGTCCCCATGCATTTCTTATGGTGGATATTTTACGTTATATCTCGTTTTCTGGTAACTTTATGGGAATTCTGCTATTTTCCCGAGTCCCTGGGGTCAAGACCTTTAATTTAAGACCTCTCCCACTTTTCTGCGACTTACCAGACGTCTAAAATTTTCTGGTAAAAATTTGGTCTTACAGAATTATATATACGAGAGGTCGTCCAGTGGTCGAAACTCGACCAAAAATATCTAATGTACTGTACTCACTTATCTATTTTCACCCCACACTGTAAATAAAACATGTGATTGAAGTTTCTTCCATTTGTTTTGATTTTATATTTATATTTCGTTGTTATTTCGTCACCATGGCAACGCATAAGATCCATGTTAATTTTTTCAAAATTTTAAACTCATTTTTCGTGCTTATCTTTGAGCCTATTTAAATTTATAAAGGGATTCTGCACACCCAGAGGAAAATAGCTTTCTAACGGTATGCGTAGATTTTACCTACGATGCACACGAGCTGAGAAAAAAGGTTTTAAAGAAACATGCTTGCCTTGCCTATTAATATATAGATAGATAGATATTATAGATTTTTTACTGGCTAAAGACGAGTTTTCAATGTTTTCAACTGCCAAATACTGTTACCAGAATGTGAATGTCGTACGAGTCTTTTATAAGCACTGAGGTTTCCTTGCCGAAATCGGCTGCTGGTAAAACTCATGTACTTGAGCCTTGAGTATTCAGTCCGTGCCGAAAAAACGCAGCTTTGTTTGGCAGCCGTATTCGGCAGCTAGGGAATTGACACAGCCAGGATCAATTAAACCAAATGATGGCAATGTTCTGACTGATCTGATGGGTGAGGAAAATGATCACTCAGCTACTCGGTTATCTCATAACACATCTTTGTTCCAAACATCAAGTTCTGTCTAAAAGTCTATGTCAGTAGAAATTTTACAACCGTTCAAAAATATCTCAATTTAGTCCAATCAGCGATCACGTCTTCTTGTTTTCCAGACTTCCCCCACGAAGCCAATCGGCGGGAAAACTTGTAAGTCCCGGAACCAATCATTTATCATTGGCCGGGTCCCGCGTAATTGGTTTTGGCGGCAGATTATCAGCTGATGACATTTTTCCAATTCCCTCGCGCGCGAACGTGACACCGGTTAATCCCTAATCCTTCCCAATCCCTAGGGAAGACTCGAGCTATGATTGGCTGACGAACATGAAACTTGAGTATGTCGGGTTTCTAAAGCAAGTCCAACTTTCTCTCTCGCAAAAATCTGTAAATATTTCCTATAGGCGTAAACCCGATTCTCGAACATCACGTTATACATCATAATGTTGTATATATTACAACACGTGTTTATGTTTGTGAAAATATAATCATGCAAAAAAGAGTTCTTCGCAACATTGAATCGTTTGGAACGATCGCTCGAACATTTTATAAACTATACCTAAGACTTAGATTGTGAAAGAAGGAAGTTAACATTTTTTAGGTGCCGTAGAGCACAATGTTATGTAAAGGTTGCCATCAAATTTGGAATAAAAATCAGTAGGCTACAATGAGCTATTTA